CACCCCTGCCCACCACCACACACACACACACACACACACACACACACACACACACACACCCTCTGGTCTCTTTTCTCTCCTCAAAGAATTTTAAGGCCCCCACTTATTCTTTGCCATTTCCCTTCTGGGCCTTCTAGCATTTTAACGAGGGGAACAGGGTTGTTAGATATCCTTTAGCTTGCTGGGAAAATCAGTGTGGAAAATCAAGCTTTTTTGCCTGATACTTAAACAGCAAAGGGTGTGTGGTTGAACTAGACACTCCACAATTTTCCTGGATGAAGCAGAGGTGGGCATACTCTCCAGCTTTCGTAGAACCTGTCCATGCGACAGAACCTCAGATCCGCTGTGTGACAGGTGTGAGCTCAGAAGGCATGGAAAGTCCATTTAGACCTTATTTCTAGATTTAGGGTTTTTTGGGTTTTTTAGTAAGAAACACTTCTCCAATATGTTACACTTCTTTTTCTTCTTGTGAAGTTTATTTTTTAAGTCTCATAATTAGAGATGTTCCAGAAAATGTCCCTTGAAGAGGAAGTATTAATTTTAATCTGGCATAACACTAGTTACCATTTTAAAGTCGGTATTAAGTTGTAATTTAAACTTTACTTGTAACCAAAAGGTCTATTGTAATGGGTTACCTGACATCCTGCCATGTGTCCCTATATCAATATTGCTGTGTAAAAATTCTGTATCAGAATAATGACAGTATTGTATATCATTTGATTTATTTTAATATTATATCCTTATTTTTGTCACAGTTGTTGTCAGTTTTTATTACAAGCAGATTTCTATTAGCTCACATTCTAAAATGGGTAAAGACCCCCAAATTGGTAAAATAGCACCAACAGTATTTGCGTGTTCACTTTACATACAGGAAAGTTCTGTTTGCATGAAATTTTAAGGTAGTACAAAAAATAAACAATGTGTAAATCGGTGAGGGTTTTGGAACAAGAAGGAAACTTGTGATATGCAGAACTGGTTGTAATCAGGAATGGACTCATGGGATTTCACTGTATTGATTCAGCATATAGTGACCCAGTGTTTACCAAGAGTGGTCAGGCAGGATGCGAGGCGATAGCCTTAAGGTGATGCCAGTGGCCCAGCCTTGCAAAACCCACCAAGTACTGTAAATGGAATCAACGTCAACAAATAAACAGCTTATGAAATGTGTTCAACTGAGTAAACTTGACCATGCCAACCCACTAACCGTTGCAAAAAAAAAAAAAAAAAAAAAAAAGAAAAGAAACGTCCATTTTGTAGTAACTTAACTTATTCAGCCGGCGCTCACAGTTGCACATTGTGTGTAACTTTACCCTGGGGGCTAACATGTCCCATAAATAAATGAATGAGATTTTGCTGTACTAATTACCATATTTAGTCACAGAAGTATTATTTTTGGTTCAGTTTAGTTTGTGTGCAAGAAGCATTCCTCAGTGAGTTTGTTGGAAAAACATCGCCTTCAGCAAGTGAAATTATGGGTGAAGAGGCAGGCACTTCAGCCGTTACGCTAAATGTTGTTTTCTTGTAATGTGTGGTACATCCTTTTTCTTAAGTCTGAAAACTTGATTGGGTCAACCAACCATTTTCACCCAAGTTAAAAAGCTTACGACTTTTATAAAATTCTACTTTTACATAAACCAACTCAATAAAAAAAAAAAAAATCACTAAAAAGAGGTAGCTCGTAGTATAGCCATGAGAAGGAATGTGAGGTTTGTGTAGAAAACTCAGAACTATATCTACTGACTCACCTACTACCATTCAAAGAAAAACAGAACCTTACTATTTGTTAACCTCTCCCCTCGATTGTTATTTTTACTGGGGAATAACTAACTCCGTTCTTTGTAAGGTACAGCTTTATTTGGTTAGTGTTCTTTTAACTTGTCACCAGGGTTAGCATCTTTCGAATAATTGTTTCAAAAACTCGTAATCATGTTCCATGGAGATTCTTTAAGCTCACTGTACGCAAAGCGCACAAATTCCTGCACTATAAAGACTGTGCTGCTGTTTCTTCCCTCCTCAGGACGCTCTCTCCCTGAAACTGGGACTTCATAGGCCAGAATTTCTGCAAGGTAAGGCAAACTGAAAATTTGCGCAAGAAAAGTTAAAGTCAGCAATCTACTTTGATGTCATTATCGGGTGTGAATTCCATCCATGCTGGGAGAGAAACAGATCTGATGCCAGAACCTACGAGCTAAACTCAAGTGGACCTGTGGATTCCTTTGCAAACACTGACTTTCTTGAAAACTGTCATTTCGGACTTCAACCTTTTTTTTTTTTTAAAGCAACATCTTTTTTTGACCATAGAGAAGTCTGTGCTAAAAGTCTTTCCTTACAAACCCTCTCATCTAACTGAAGGCCTTTTTTTCTTCCCAGCATTTCAGTGTTGTTCTAGTGTTGGAGCTCTGTAAAGTCAGTCCAGTGATAGATCACTCATGTAAGCCAATTTTCTTCTTCATTGGTTTCAGTATCAGAAACCTCATCCCATTCAGAATTTTCTAACTTCATTCTTTTAGAGGATTAAAGTTGGGGACCATTTTAATTTTAAAAACAGGACAGTTTTGGTATTCAGTGAGGATCACTGCCTAAAATTCACTGGCAACCTTTTACGATCATTCTCTTTTAACATGTTGCCCTGTATTTCCAGTAATATCCCCAGAATTAATATTTCTTTGGTTCTTAGACATCTTCCCCCTGATTTGTTAATGGTCAGTACACCCTACAGTACTAAAGAGAACTGTTTCTCTTCTAGTATCTTTGACAACATAATCCTTAAGTAAATTTATTACCCTCTACTCTGACTCCCCCAAAAGTCAGGGCACTTTTCAGAGCACACATCTCCCAAGAGTCGAGATGCCATTAGTACACTGTTCTTGAAG